AAAAAATCAACAATTACCAAAAAATATAACTTTTCCATTTATCACACATGTAACTTTTTTTAGACAGGTTTTAATCTTAATCGCAAAACACACTTTAAACACACTTTTATTATTTTTTTTTTTTTTTTTACCCCCCCCCCCCCCCCCCCCCCGCCAATAGAATCTTGAAAAGTCTGTCTCTTCAGTCATCCACCTCTGAACATCCCTGATTCTAGCCGTGGACACTCAATTTCATTCTTTGAATTAATTTATCCAACGTTTTTTAATATTCTTTTTTATTCAAAGAATTCATGATTTTGTTTAGAACACGATACAACAGTTTGCAATCGTTTTGATTTTGTTTGATTTAGTCGAATAACCAAAAAGCACATGGTATTGAATTCCGAGAATTGCTCCACAATAAAAACTTCATGAACTTATTTCTGTATTCCTTTTTTGTTCAATCGCCACTAGTTTCTCTATATCCTAATATGTATAGACAGCTAGACATCATAGAAGACGAGAACAAAATGTGATCTAATATTACTGTCACATATCATAACAAACAGCTCTTATCGAAATTTTACTACATTAAAACTTCTCTTAGTGAACACTCTGTTATACAGAACACTCTTCCGTTGCGCCGAGCAAATTTTGTTGGTTTTTTTTACGCCTTAAGCGAAAAAGAATGGACGAACTGATATCATTGTCTTGTTGAACAGCTTTTTAATCTTTGTCTATCAGATTTGTTATCTCGCAATGTTCTTAAGATAGACAACATAGTTTATCTCCTCGAGAATTAAGAAATAAATTCAAGTGTTCATCGGTGCTATGTCAAATATTCTTAAAAGAAAAAATGAATATATTATTGATTATGAAACTAATCTAAATAAAAAGATGAATCATGATTTTAGTTAAACCATTAGGGATGAACAAGTTAGCTATGTTTTTAACACAAATGAAGTCATTAACTTGAACTTCTTTCAAGTGTCGTGATATTACTCATGTATTGTATCAATTTACTGAAAAAAATTGTGCATCAGTCCCTAATTACATTATAGCATGAATAACGTTTGTAATATCTTTATTAACATTTTGGCACTATGTTGTCGAAATAGAAAAGCACTTTGAGAAAATATTCCTTTTACAAGTGATGTCGTTGCAGAAATTATCAAAACTTTCCTTGTCAATTCGAATGATTGTTACCATCATCATTAAGATAATTAGTACTTTCATCTTTAATAAATACAACATTATCAACTTTTTATTTTTTAATTCTATTCTGTTCAATGACTAAGAAAAAACTTTTTGTGTTTCTCTAGGTTACTGTTCGTAATTATTTATCAATCGTAACATTTATTTAGAGTATTCTTGTCGACTAATAAATAAGTTCAAGTATTATTAACGAAGAGAATTTTCATATTAGAAGAAAAAGTATAACTTTGCATAAGGTGAAGCTAATATATATTTATAAGTTGCAAAAAATATATCTAATTTGACGTATACTTTTTTTTTCAAGTCAAAAATGATTGAAGTCAAAGTTAAGTCAAGTTACTTTTGATTTAATATGTCTGTCTCTGCAAGTCATCAATGATAGCGTTTAAACCTGATTGAGCAAGATATGGAAGTGATGTTTGAAATTTATCTATTTAAAAGCACTAAAAAGAAAGCTGAAAGGGATAAAACTGATATTTTGATTAATATTTGCTTGACTGTCTCCTTTCTGAATATCCTATGTTATACTGAATGATGTTCATCGATTTTTACAATGTAGAGCATCTTTTTAACTATAAGATTAGATATAAAGAGAAAGTTTCTCTAAGCTTTTTTATAAAAAATTAAAATACCTTCGCCATTATTTTTGATATGCCTGAAGTACCTACTTGTTTTCCAAGGGTAAAACCATATGCTGTAGAAGTAACAAAACCACAAAATTCACCATTGCGATAAATAGGTTCACCACTCCATGGCCTAAAGAGAAAGTGGACAATGTTAAATAAAAGAAAACAAATTTAAATTATATTTACCAGGGATCAGCATCTTTATCATGATCTTCAAGAAGAAATTGTATAAATCTCTTTTGTATACCTTCTTTTTTTTGTCTTAATAAAGCTTCTTTACCAATAAATTCTTTCTAGAAGAACAATAAATAAATAAATAAATATTTGAGCCAATAAAAATATTAAATTCTTACATCAAATGAAACGCGAAATTCACGATTTAAATCAAATGGTGTTGTTGTTTTATCTATATCTTGCCCCCAAAATGCATACATTCGTTCAATTCGAAGAGTTCGTTGAGCAAAATAACTAACAACAAAAAATAAATAAATAACGGTAATCAAAACTACAAATTCAATCTCTTTATACCCAGCATTAATAATTCCATAATCTTTTCCTTGTTCCATTAACTGTTCATATACACACAAAGCATACTAAAACATATCAATGGTGTTTTTCTCTTAAATACAATATTTTTTGTATTTGTTTACTTCCGATGGAATATACAACATGAAACCATCTTCACCGGTATGTGTTAATCTCATCGCATAAATATGACTAACAAAACCAACATCAATTTCCTTTAAAATAAATAAATTTTAATTAAATTGAATATTTTGCTTTTTTTTTTGCTAGGTTACGTGAGTTTTCGACCTAGGCCGAAATTCATATAGGACTCTCGGCTCGGGACCAAATTTTTCTCATTAACTTTCCTAAAAACTTAAAATTCTTTAAAAAGTTGGTACACTTCGTTGTGCTTAGCGACATGCATTTTTAATGAAACGTAGTGTTCAACAGTCTACTTTGATTCCATTAAACTATAGACCTCTAGTTTGATCTAAATGTGTGCTGCTACTAAATAGTTATTAATGAAAATTAACACTGCTAAGCATTATGGAGTTTACTGATTGTTAATAAAAATGAGGATTTTTATGAAGAATAATGAGAAGAATTTAGGCGGGATTCGAAATTCTGAATTCGATTTTAACTTACTCTGCAAGTCATTCTTGCAAAATCATTAAAATTTTCATCACTTAATTCTGCTAATAAATATTTAGCTTTTGGTCCAATAACATTCAACGCTGTATAAAGTGATGTTACATCCGAAAGGAAAATTGATCCATCTTCTGGTACATGAGATTTTAACCATTTCATACTTCTTGTTGACTGTGACGTTGGGCTTATAAGAAGAAAACTAATAGAAAAAAATAGAAAAAGAAAACAGTTTCGAAGAAAAAAATAATATATTTTTTTCTTACTGATAGTCATCAAGACGTATAACGGAACAATCATTTTCATAACCACCTTGTTCATTTAGCATACCTGTATGAATAACAGTGCCAATTGGTTTATCAATATTATTAGCACAAAGCATTTGAAGAAAATCGACAACACTTCGATTAGCTGATTTAAGTTCGTATTTTGTAAATGATGTCATATCAATAACGGCAACACCTTTTCGACATGCATTATATTCACGCTTAACAATATTAAACCAACGTGCTTTACCAAATGTACCTTGTTTACTAAGATCTTCAATATTTTCACCTTCAAATTAAAAATAATTGACAATGAAAAAAAAGAATTTTTTTTCACTTTCAAATACTTTTTTCAGATTCATCTAAATTAAAAAATAATGGTCGTTCATATCCAAGTACTTCACCAAAAACAGCACCAGCTGCTTGTAATTTTGGATGTAATGCTGACACACGTAATTTTCGTCCTGTACGATATAATGACATACCATAAGTTGGGTACTTTAAAGAATATTGCTGTCCTAGAAAAAAATTCTATTACAAAAACAAAGAAATTTTCTTTTGAATTTTTACCAGGAATTTCACGAAGACGATCTTTTAAAAATCTTTTATTTGTATGCAAACGCATAAAACGACGTATATCAATAGGCCATGTACTTAAATCTGTATTTCCAGTATGTATTAATTCTGCAATATATTTTCCTACGCCACCGGCAACTGCTATACCGTTTCCATTAGTACCAGATGCGACAAAATAATTATCAATCTAAAAAGAAAATTATTTATTATCAATCGATATATATATATATATATGTATCAAAAAAGATAATCAATGACTAACTTCAGCAGATTCATTCATAATTAATCGACCATCAGGTGTATAACTATCAGCACCTGTTATTATTGTGTCATATTCACTTTCACCAAGAATGGGAAATCGTTTGATAGCATTGTTTAATATCCAATCTATGAAAATTTTTATAATTGAGAGTATTTTTGAGGAAAATAAAATAAAATAACTTACGAAAATCATCCCAATTATCAGGTAAAAGTGAATAATTAAATGTATCTGGTACACCATTTAAAAAAATAGGCTTTGATTCACGAAGAAAGCCACCAATTAAAACACTATCATTAGCTAATGGTAGAATATAAAAACGTTCATCTGGATTGTGAACAATAGGCATATCTTTTGGAAAATTTGGTATCGGCTTTGTTTTTAAACATATGTATTCTAAATATATAATGTAATATTTCAAAAAAAAAGAGCTGTTAGTGCAATCCCTACGGAATTAAAATGTAAAACACGATGTAACTATTGTGATAATCACAAAATGATTGTTTTATATTCTATCTATTTTAAGACACATTTATTCATCATTCTATCCAAAAATCCGATAAGGAAATAGTTCAGGTATTATAACAACACATTATTGACATAAGGCTTGTGATCGTTTTGATTCTAGGATAGGCTGAACATGTTTATAAGACTTATATCTGAAAGTTAAAAATGACAGAAGATGAGACTTTGAATTGACAATTTGCAATGTATAAGAGTGATGTAGATGAGAAAAAATTTGGAACTCGTGTAAAAAGCCGTGTATTTGAAGAAACATGCGAACGTTTATATTCATAGAAATGCCAACTTTCGAAAGAAGAGGTTTTACTGGAAAAAAGAAATTTAATGGTGAAGTAGAAATAACGGGTGGCGCAGAATAAATTATACTCTTAGTATTTTTGAAGTTTCTCCTTTATTATCCCCGTGATTGACACACTTTTTTTATCAAAAGATAGCGCTTGAAATTCTCTACAAAACTATATATGACTAGGTCCAAAAACTGTTTTAGATAGATTTGAAAAAAGATTAAAAAAAAAGACATAAAAAGTTGTAAAATGTAATGTGTTGGACATAAGGAATAGCCGCGCTTTTCATCCCATTTTTTCAGCGCTTACTTCGCCCTATTATTTAAAAAAAATATACCAAAAGATGCAGTGTGAAACGCTCTACAATTTAGATAAGATCGCCTATTTCATAGTTGCACTTTTTGTTTTCAAAATGGACAAAATTTTGAGCCATCGAATTTTGACCGTGCGAAAATGATATATTTTTTTGGCATAAGTTGAATTTTTTTTCCTAATTTGTTCTTTGTAAATTGTAGAGCTTTTCATGCTACATCTTTTGATATATTTTGTTTTTCTAATAGGGTGAAGTAAGTGATAAAAAATAGGATGCAAAGCGCGGCTATTCATTATGCCCAACCCATTATGTTTTGCAGCGTTTTAGATGTCATTACTTTTCATCTTTTTCAAATATATTCAAAACAGCTTTAGGGCCTAATCGTATATGGTTTTGTAGAGAATTTCAAGCACTATCTTTTGATTAAAAAATGCGTCTTCATCATGTGGATAATAGAGGAGAAATGTTAAAAATACGAACAGTCTAATTTATTTTTTATAGCTTTTTATATGGCGTTACTTTTCATCTTTTTCAAATCTATCTAAAACAGTTTTTGGACCTAGTCATATATAGTTTTGTAGAGAATTTCAAGCGCTATCTTTTGATAAAAAAATGTTTCAAACATGGGGGTAATAGAGTAGAAACTTCAAAAATACTAAGAGTATAATTTATTCTGCGCCACCCGTTATTTCACAAAAACTTTGCCTAACGAAGGAAGTACTCCCAAATGATTAATCGCTTTTGAGTTGAAACTATGTGTTTCATGTAGATCCTAATGAACTATGAATAACCTAAAAATGAGTTCGGGTCCTTAGCTTATTAATGCTAACATACTGCTTTTTTCTGGTATTTTTTAGTTGTTATCGTGGTCCTCTTTATGAACAGTAGGAAAACTTATTTTCAAATTTCGATTTGAAACTCTCCGTTGAGAATGAGCTCATCGATAAAAGTTTTTTTTTGAAAATTTTAGATATTTTTGTTGGTCCTATCGTAAGATACAGCTATGACAAAAACTATATGCATCTATAGATTTGACATTCTTATTTCAGGAAAGGAGCAAATTAAAAGACCGAAAACTTTCACAATTAACTTTTCTAATTAAGATCTGTCTCTTTGCAAATTTCCTAATGTTCCTGAGGGAGACCATCGTATTGATTTTATAACGACCGGAAAAATGCAGTATCTCAACAGCAATAAAGTAAGGATTCGAACTCTTTTCTAGGAATTCATGGCTTATTAGAGTCTACATAATGCACACAGTTCAAACTGCAAAGCAATTAATCAATTGGAGAATTTTCGTCGTAAGTCTGTTCAACTGAGAAAATCTCACTATTAGCCGCTAGAAAACAGTGACGCTTGTACAAAAAATGTCACCCACTGTTCAAACCTATCCATCTGATGAAAGGATAAAAGAAAGTAATTGAGCCTACTCAAGCCTTCTAGTTCTGCCGTCTATAGTGATTGTATATCAACTATTTCTATCACTGTCCGCGACGCGTTGTTAAGGTGTCTGTCATGATCTGTGATGTTTCCATAGTGATGGCCTGTAGGAGATGCCTTGTCGATATGTTCACAATTTTTCACTAAAACAATACGTGCTTTCTTATTTGAATATTAAAGCTTACCGCATGCTTGTGTAGGTATGCGTACACCTGGTGAAGATCGATATCCAAGTTCACGAGCCCACTACAAAAACAATCGAATTTTTTTTAATTTTCCTTTTTTAAGATAAAAAGAACATTCTACCATTCCTGTGCAATTAATAAATATGTCACATTTGATATTTCCTTCTGATGTAACAACACTTGTTACTCGATCATATTGTCCAGCACGTTGTTTTTCAGTTAAAATTTCTTTAACATGACAATCTTCAACAATTTTAACACCTTCAAATCATCGAAAAATCAATTATTAATTACAATTAAAAAAGAAATTTTTTTTTTGGTTTTTTGTATACCATTATCTATTGATAATTTAGCAAATGTTAAAGCAAGTGGTACAGGATCAACCATAAAATCATTTTTAACTAAAAGACCGCCCTGAAGAGAAAAAATTAAATACTTTTTTTTAATGAAAAATTTGTTTTCTATCTTACCCAAACTTCATGTGGATAAATAATCGGAAGGTTTTCTTTTACTTTTTCGACATTTAATATTTCACAATCAATTCCTAAAGCTTTTATAGTTGCATATTGTCGTTTTAATGTATGTAATCGATCTGCTGTTTGTGCTATCCATAGACTACCATTTTCAACAAAACCTAATAAAAAAAAAGAAACAAAAGCATTGAAAAAAACGTTTTCTATGAAAGATTTACCAATATCATGTCCTTGATTATTTAATTTTTCGTATAATTCTCTTGAATATCTCGTAAAATGTGTTTGAATTAATGTATTTTGTACATGTATTCCTTGACCTGCACTTTGCCATGTTGCCCCCGAAGCTAATCTATTTATTTAGACATATATATGAAGACATTTTTTTTTCTAAGCCAAATATTACTTTGATTTTTCGATTAATACAATATCTCTAATACCACATTCACTCAAATGATAAGCAACTGATTGTCCAATAATTCCTCCACCAGCAATAAGAATATAACATGATGATGGAATTTTATCTGTTAATTGTAATATTGGACTTGGATGAATATGATGCGGTATTGTAGGTGATTCATGTTGATCATATGAAACTAAACGACGAAGAACATATGATATTTGATAATGCGATTTGTTCTTTAATAAATGATGTCCATTGTAAAATATTCTATGCTGCAGCATGAAAGCCTGCAAGCATCTAAACAAAAAATCTAAATCATCTCATCAAAAGGAAATTTTCAATTTTGGAATCAAACAGGGAACTATGCTGTATGTTTTATTTATGATGACAAGAAGAAAACAAACAGGAGTATGAAAGAAAAAAAAAAGGAATAATCTATTAGGTTCAATGTCTTGTGGGACGGATAAACATGATGAATTATTGGCTTATTTGCCAGTTTGTTTCTTTTCAGCTTTTGATTTCTTCTTCTTTCCCAATGTACGATTTGAACCATTATATTTTTGTAAATTTGCCATGATATACATTGGATAGAGCATTGGTACAACAAAGAACATGCCTAATGCAATTAATTTTTCCTAAAATTATTTAAAAATAATGAGAAAAAATTTGTAATATATATGAAGATTAAATTTATTATCATACTGTATTCGTCACTTTAGTTACTGGTGGACCAGCTTGTAGAAGTACACTTTCAGAACGACGAGGCACCATCATTAATGCCTGACGACGAACGATTTGTGTCAAAAGACTTGACATTTTTTCAAATACTTTTTGATAAAATCTAAAATGATTATAGATTTAATTATAATTTCGCTTTATAGAATTCAACGAAAGTATTTCTTTTTGTGTATTCTCTGTTTTTGTCTGTGACTCCTTAGATGAGTTCATTCTATGAAGAATTCTCCTTGTTTTTTGTATTTGATTTCTATGTAGACATTATATGTAAGTTGAAACTACGAAAATGATGTTTACAATGTGGTAATAAACATCTGTCCAAATGGTAATCAATGGATTATGGAAATTTTGGTTTGCTTTTCTTTAAATAAAAATTTCTAATAGATTTTTCCGAGGAAAAAACAGTTTTTAAGTTTGCTTATTAATGTTTCTTTATTATATATTAACAGCGCTTTATTCTCATTGGTTACTATTCTATTAAGATCAACAATACTGAAATGATTTTTTGAAATATTTCATTCGTGATTGTATTAAAATATTTAGATTTAAAAAAAAGTGAAAAGAAAATCATGTCAAGAGATTCAAATGTTCTTGCTATTTGGGGAAATAAAGATTCAATGAATTTAAATTCACTTGTACTTAATAATATAATGTCGTCACAATATTTTAAAAATGCTTTATATGAAAAAAAAACTTATCATGAAGTTGTTGATGAAATTTATTATCAAGTAAAGACTTAGATTCCTTTTTTGTTTTACTCATTATATTATCTTTTTTTTGTTAATAGGTTAAACATTTAGAACCATGGGAAAAAGGTAGCCGAAAAACATCCGGTTTAACAGGCATGTGTGGTGGGGTAAGTTAATACATTCATATACATATAGAAATATTTCTTTTAGATGAAAATATTATAGCTTTCTCATTACTTAGCAAGGATATGGATTTGGGTTAATGAAAGAAAAAAAATCACTATTTTTATTACATATCCAAAATTCGAACATTTTCTAGTTTAAGAAATAATCAACCGAATTAACCAAAACTTATTATTTATTCATTTATACTATTTTTATTGTTGTAAGTCTATATATATCAATAAGACAGGGATATGTATATACATATACTAAAAAATTAACTCACTAGAATAAAGTTGTCACTGAATAAATCATCGAAAAAAATCAATTTTTAATATTAGCCTATAGCTATGTGGCAAATATTTGTAATATAAATGATAGCATTTGAATATTCATAAAATTTTATTATATTTGAATCGATTTAAATACAAGAATATATATTTTTTTGTTTTCTTATTATTCAGGTTCGTGGTGTTGGCGGTGGTGGTATCGTCTCAACGGCATATTGTTTATTATATAAATTATATACATTAAAATTAACACGAAAACAAGTTATTAGTTTAACTACTCATACTGATTCACCATATATACGTGCACTTGGTTTTATGTATATTCGGTAAGCTAAAATATAAATTAATGAAACAAAGAAATGAAATTTATCATGTATTTATTTTTTTGTTCTTAATTATTAGATACACACAACCACCAAATGAATTATTTGAATGGTTTGAAGAATATCTTGATGATACAGAAGTGAATTGACATGAAGTTTCAAATCTATAATTTTTATTATTATTTTTTGTTTAAATAGACTTTAGATGTCAAAGCTGGTGGTGGTTGTATTATGTCAATAGGCCAAATGCTTCGTCAATGGTTAATACGTATTGAGTACGTACATAATGAAATTTTATTCTTATTTATTAAAATGTTTTTTTTTCTCTTAAGATGGTATGATACATTATTTCCTCGAATACCGGTTCCAACACAAAAAGAAATCATGGAAAAATTACATGCTCATGGTCCATATAAGGGCGATAACTTTGGTGCACATTCAAGGTATGTGAGGTGGAAAGTAAGCAAGAATGATAGATTATTATGATATATTATTGATTGGTTATATTTTTCTTGTTTTTTTCTTTTTATTTAATTTTTTATAGATATGATTATGATGAAGAACAATATGAAACAAAATCATCAAATGCAATTGATATGCCTGAAACATTTGGTAATGCTGCATCATCATCATCAAAAGATCGTAATGGGTCTCATAATTATCATCATTCATCATCAACAGATTCTTATCGAGATAGAAACAATAGGTAAACTTTAATATATTTAATGAATTAATTGAATTTTTTTAAATTGAAATAGATCATCTCGTGACGATCGTTCTCGATCACGTTCACTTGATCGTCGGCGACATCATCATCAACGAGATGATAGTCCTGATCGTTATAGATCTCATAAATATCATCATCATCATCGACGTAGTTCATCACGTGAAGATCGACGACGACATTCTCATCGATCACGCTCACCTGATACTCGTTATCGTAACGATAGACATGATCGTTCATAAACAAAATTCATTATATTATATACATTCATAAATAGACTCTAAATCAGAATCAAGAAAGAAAAAGAATAGTTCTATTATTGTTGTGTTTCTTTTTGTTTTTTTTGTATGTAAATACAAACATTATTGTCTGCATAACGATCATCCATCGATTTTGTTTCTTCAGATGTCTATACTTAATTTTAATGTTGGTGTACTTGGACATGTCGATTCTGGAAAGACAAGTCTTGCTAAAGCTTTAAGCACTGTTGCTAGGTAGATATGAGATATAAAATTCATTTAAATGAATTTGAGTTTTTCTTTAGTACAAATGCATTTGATAAAAATCCACAAAGTCAAGAACGTGGAATAACACTTGATCTTGGCTTTTCATCATTTACAATGAATATGCCTGAACATTTAATCGATAGTAATTATAATCACTTACAAATTACTTTAGTTGATTGTCCAGGACATGCATCTTTAATACGGACAATTATTGGAGGTAAATTAATTTTTCATTTAAATATACTTTAAATGGTAATCGTTAAAGGTACTTTCTCCTTCCGCCGTTCTTTTTCGATAGACAGAACACCAAAAACAAGGAGAAATGTATCCTAAGAAAAAAATTTTCAAGTGAAGTTTTGCTGCGAAACCATAGTTTTCCATAGGAACGCATCCTGATTGCTTAGCTTTGTTCAATTGAACTGAAACTTTTACTATTGAAACTTAGAAGTATTCTCGAGAGGAAAAATCAGCCGTTTATTTATTTGACGTTTCTACCCAGATTTACAGGATTCTGAAAGCTAAGATTGCGATTTTCACTGAGAACGCTTATATATTTTTCTTAGAAAAAAAGGAAAATGAGATTTTCGAATTATCTCTGAGTACAAGATTTCTCAACAAACATTCATCTCAAAATTTTTTTCTCGAACATGTCTTTACTTATTTTTGGCGCTCTATATCTAGTTAAAATCCCAGCTTGATCGGTTGTACTGTCTTCGAGAACCAGAAGGAGTCAAAAAAGAGTGGCTTGATACCCTTAATGTTTAATTCATATTTATTAATCGATGAATTCTTATGTTGATAATTCGAAAAAAAAATATCGAAAACTCAATAGATGAAGAAACGTCTATTCCAGAATACCCGGATTGTAGTCTCATAACTCGACAATGGTAAGAGCTAGCGACTTAATGTTTTCAGCAATCGCAAGAATAGAAGCCCAAACATCTATTTGCTCCATACTATAGAAGACAAAATTATTTTAAAGATACTCGTCTTCGCAAAAAAGTGTTTTGAAACAATGCTCCTTTTCAATGTAATTATAATTTTGACTTGTGTTTCAAATAGAGGAACTTCATATATATCGATAGTTCAATGTACCGCTCAGGTAATTATCTTCTTACATCTCAATGTCGAACAAACAAAATCGTGCATTGATTCTATCAAATTATATAGAATTCTGTTAATGTTTAGCAAATTTTCTAAGTTTTTGTTAAAATTTCTTTGAAATCAAACATCATTTTCATACATTCGTTTTGCGAATATTTTCATTTTTAAAATGATTTTATCATATATAGTATCAGACGAACACCCACACTTCTTTAATTATAATGCAGACATTTCTTTTTAACTAATTCAAATGAAAACAAATTCTTTTTTACTTAGGTGCTCAAATAATTGATTTAATGTTACTTGTAATTGACATAACAAAAGGTATCCAAACGCAAACAGCTGAATGTTTAGTTATTGGTGAAATAACTTGTGATAAAATGTTAGTTGTATTAAATAAAATCGATCTTATTGAAGAAAATCAACGACAATCAACAATAGAGAAGGTAAATAAAAAAAAAACAATTTTTTTTATTCATGTTATATCATACAACTCATTTGTCTTAGTTATTCAGATGACAAAACGATTACGTAAAACATTTGAATTAACAAAATTTCCACAAGCACCTATTATTCCTTGTTCAGCATCATCATCATTGAATTTAAATGAACTTATATCAACACTTCAACAACATGTTTATATTCCTCAACGATCTCCAAATGGTCCATTTATATTTTCTGTTGATCATTGCTTTTCAATTCGTGGTCAAGGAACCGTGATGACTGGTACGATTCTATCAGGTTCAGTACGAATTAATGATGTAAACATCAATTAGTATTTTTTTTTCTTCAAAAAAATGAATAATTTTTTATGTCTCTTAATTACAGCCAATCGAAATAGCAGCACTTAAGGAAATTCGTAAAGTTAAATCCATGCAAATGTTTCATAAACCAATTGATAGAGCTATTCAAGGTGATCGTATTGGTATTTGTGTTACACAATTCGATCCAGATAAACTTGAACGAGGATTAGTTTGTAAGTAAAATTCTTTGCTCCTTTTTTTCTGTGGAACTCACATATATTTTAAAAGAAAACTGTTGATGTAATTTTTAAGCCAAAGTCTTGCAGCTCTTTTCTCTTCAGTACACGCTGTAGTCACCGAGCAGAAAAGACATCAAATTCTGTTCCCAGAGTTCTTTAGAACTATTCTAGACCATTCCAAAATTTCTCTCGTAATTTGGATAGCTGGAATACGTTCGTGAATGTTCTAACTAGTGCAGTTATTCATTTTCGCACAGATAAGAATTTATACTTAAGATGTCAAGAATGATGAATAATGCTGAGAGATGTGCGGGACCAGGTGCAAGAAGTATCACTTTACTGGAACTTTGAGAAAAAAAAACTTGCCGGGTCGAAGCTCACTTTTAAAGTAAAATATTGTAGGGTTTTAAACAAATTGTCATATAAACCATATGAATCAGAATATATTTCAAGAAAAATGACCCAAAAAAGTGCTTGTCATCGACTAAATAAATCAAAAGAATAAGTAGTGAAGAATTATTTTAGATGTATTACGAATGAACTCTAGAACGGTTATCTCTGGAGCCATACCAAAAACACTAAAATAACCGGAACTATAATTAGGGCTGGAATCAACAAACTTTGATCTCACACACTTCTAGTAGGTGGAGTCTGTTGGGTCGGCCCCATGATCCAAAATTTTTGAATCTGATAGGGCTATACCATGAGCTTATCGAGATAAATAACGATGTGTTGAAACTTGCTGCAGATATAACGGATTTGTACAACACGCTTATTTGCCAGTTAGATCGGTGATTAGAATAGTAGTAAGGTCAAATTAAGAAAAGCGGAATACGAAAAACAACAGCAACAAGACAAAAAAAAATAGAAAATATTTCTGTTCGAAGTGTAGAAATAAATAAGATAGATCGCTTCTCTTGAAAAAACAACTAAAGTTTGCGAGAGATTTATCACCGTACGTATTTTGTATTAGTATAATGAAGCTAAAAAAACCACATGTGAGTTCCATATTTTAGCCTAAAAGGAGGTGCACTAAAAAACATTTTCTATTTGAATCATTTCTAGCTACTCCGGGTATAATAAAAATCTTTCATGGTTTCATTGTTCAAATAAACAAAGTTAAACATTTTAAAAATGAAATTGAAAGTCGAACAAAATTTCATATAACTTGTGGTCATTCAACTGTTATGGGTAAAATTGTATTATTTATTGATCACTCAGTAAATAATAATAATGATCAATTCAGTTACGAAAAAGAATATGAAGCTATTGACCAATATCCAACTGAAGATTCTTTAACAAATAAACAAATATTTGTATGTAAACAAAAAATTCTTTTTTTTTTAAATTTTATGTAATTTTCTTTTCGTAAAAGGCTTTGATTGAACTCGAATCACCAATAACTTGCCAATTACAATCAATATTGATAGGTTCTCGTTTAGATACAGATATCCATGTAAATACATGTCGTCTTGCTTTTTATGGTCATGTACTTGATGGTTTTATGGATAGTGATTATTTAAATAAAGACTTACCAAATAAACTTCATATTTATAAACGAAAAGAAAAAATTGGTTTTATTGATCGTTTGGTTGATGATCAAACAATTATTGGCAAAGATTTATTTCAAAAAGAAACAAATATAAATATATTTGTTAATTTTAAAGTTGAACTTAATCCAACAGGTGAACAAGGTTTCATTGAGTCATCATTTGGACAAAGTGGAAAATTTAAAGTACGATTTATGAGTAAGTCTTTTTTTTTCAATTCTGTTTCACTAAAAAAAAAATAATAATAATTAACTAGATGGCCTATCGGATGAAATGAAACAATTATTAAATAATACAAAAGGTCGAAAACAACAAGGCAAAACAACAACAACAGCAAATTATGATGCCGATGGAGAATCTACTGAATCTCATCAACGTATTCGTATTATTCTTAAATTTAAAAAATATCTTTTTCAAGAAAAAACAATTATATCACAATAGACATATTTTCTATTGTCGTGTGTTTTTTTATTAAATTTTTTATATATTTATGTTCTTGTTTTCGGGTTATGGAATTTTAACAAGAAGTAAATTAACATGAGAACTTTTTTTTGACAACAATTTCTTATAAGTTTGTGTAATCAAATTCGTCACGCTGATTTCATGGTTTATTATTTTCTTTCTTGTTTTTCTCGTCATTATTGAATTGCAAGTAACTTATGATCAAAGATAAATGGACAAAAAAAACAATACATTGTTTTTGTAAATACCCTATGAGAGAATTAAGAATTCATTGATGTAATAGAGTGTTAGTATCAAGCAATCTCATTCAACAGGTAAAACTATGAATGTGTTTTCTAATTCTTTTAAGAAAAAAAATTAAGAAAGGTTAGTATTATAACCGTTTGACTGTAATGAATGGTCGCTTGTAGAATGACATCTTGTCATCATCTATTAGGTTGTATTAAAAAACAAAATATATCAGAAGATGCATTGAAAAAAGCTCCACAATTCATAAAACAAAGTTTATTTTATATATTCATCTTTTGTTTTATTTTTTTGATACAGCGAACATCATCCTTTTTTCGTAAACAATGAATTCAGTATTTTGTCTTATTGATTAACAAAAACCCTTTTTATTGATAAAAAATAGTGTTTATTCGAATGTATTTATATTGTTAGTCAATAGGAAAAGGATGGATAAGGAGCAAGAGTGTCCCGAGTTGGGAGCAGAGGGAATGATCCTGAATTTTGGGATATTTTCATTTTTCCCCAGCAAAACTGAACGATGTTGTTTGTTTTTGTTCCCCAATTCTCGTAACGAGGATTAACCACTCAATCTTCATGGGCTAGAGACACTCTTGAAGAGAAGATAAATGAAGAGGCTATGAATCCAAGAAGAATTATTGCGTGATTCGATAGATTTAAAAATAGTCTCATGCCTCCAATTATATTCGAATCTGGTAAAATATTATAGCATAAGCATTACATCGAAGATGTTTTTTGATATGCCCAATCTGAAGATACAAACGGCTACTGATCGACTATTTTATCTATCAATAAGACAACGTAATGTCGCATAAACATCAGGAAACATTGACATGGTGCATAGAGTATTTCGTGCATTCCATAAACAAACACAGATAATTTTGATCTCAACGTTTTGAATTATTATGTATGAGATACGTCATCGTCAATAATACGCAATAAAGTTAAAAACCATGATTCTTTACTAGTTGAAACAACAACAATAATTCACTACACGCTAAAATTACAATCATATTTTGCAGCGTCGAAAATTGGTTAAACAGAATTTTTCATCTTTTTTGGACAAAACAAAAGGTCCATATATAAAATAAACTTTTGGTAAATTTGCAGAGTTTTTCGTAAATGAAAACTTTGATGATAAAAAGATGATATATAAAAAGCGATCATTCATAATGGCACACCAATTTTTTTTTCATTCTATTCTCGATAACTGACAAAGATGTTTATTGAAACTTACGTCTATAATTCTTCATTAGATGAAAACAAAAAGAAAATACTCAGTTTTCTATTGAACTATCAACGGAAAACAAAAGAAATGTTCATTAGTAATATGTTACACTTAACGAAGTATTTGTCACAGATTTTCAAGCGAACAGACAAGACGATTATCCAACAGATAGCATCATATATTTGTACAATTTTATTAATTAAAACAATTTATCTTATTCGACGATCTAAGAGTACACAGTAAACACCTTTCAATCCAATAAATCTACATTTTATTCTACGTAGCACAACCAAAAATATCTAAACATAAGGTGTTACAAAGTGAAGCCGCTACGAGCTGTTCCTAATTTAAAAAGACAAAAAGAAACAGGAGAAGACGATTCATAACGTTTTGTCATCTGTTTGTCAACAAGTATGCCGATGACAATTGTCTACGAGTAACAGCTTGTTACAATAATACAGATGATATTAGTTTCGTATTAGATGACTAGTTCGTTCGTTGTCACTGTTCAGATATCCCGATGATGCTTCTAATTGATCACACATATTTCATAAATTGAACAACAGCTTGTAAACAAAAAATAAAAAAAGAAATTTTACAAAACTGTTTCATATTAGAAGTTTTCTCAGAAGTACAATCAATGATCAATGATCAATATCTCAATTTGTTTTTTTTTTGTTGTTTTTGATCTTTTGACTCTTGAATATATCGTATTAAAAGATAATGTCTTTTTCTATAAATTTGAAGAAAACAAAAAAAAGAATTTCATTCGTGTGACTATCAAGTGCATGTGAATAGGTGATGATATGTTACACATTGTATCTTCATCCTCTTTCCCAGCGTATTGTTTTTTTTATGTCCGACAGAATATTATCATTCGATTGTCAAGTGTGATGATATTCCAATATACATAGTGTGTTCAATGGGCTTTAGGTAATTGAATTATCCAAAAACAGCAGGTTAAGATAAATTGCTTATTCAAATAAGAATTGGTTTATATCATTGAATAAAAGCAGTGATACTATGTTCGATCTATTATAAATGTTTTATGCAATATACATAGATCTTTTCTATTCAAATTGACTTGACAAAGATCAAATATATCTTGTGAACATAAGGTTAACAAAAAATTTCAAAAGTTAGATATTAGACAATAATAAAATTACTCCAACTCAGTCAATTTTTCATCTGTTTGTCATCCAATGAATTTTCTTCGAAATAAATATGTTGTTATTATTTTATTTCTAATATAGATATGAAACAAGAGCCTCTCAGCTAAGGTCCGGTTATGAAATATTTTGGACTTGATGGACTGTATGGAATATATGTTAAACCAGACAAAATTTATTGTAATACAACCGTATTCAATAGACGGTTTTGTCATTTTAGAATAAATGCTGCGAAATCATCTGTAACTAAAGAATTCATGGTATTCCTATAGCTGATGTTCTACCGTATGATATTATAATATCACACAGTGGAACACCAGTTATAATGATATCATCATAAGAATAACTAAAACATTTACATATATCTTCAAAGCAAAATTATTCGGCGGAAAATATTTTCAAAAGAAATCAGTATTTCATACTAAAGTGATTTAAATGAATTTTTATTCTAGATATTCATCGATATGTATTCAACTTTCTGAAAAAGAAATCTCTAACTAAAAGAATCTCTCAAAATTCGAATGTTTTGTATTATTATTTGTATCAATTGAAAATGATTTCAAATAAGAAATATTTTTTTTCTGGTTCGAATTCAAATACATCTGGCTTTGTAAAATAGTTTGGTGTTGTTGTGTGAAATGATCTTCAAAAAATATAAACAGTTTTCAGACATGTGAGAACTCTATTTGTTTCAATGGTCAATTTGTTTCGATCAAAATTTATACAAGCTGTTTATTGCATCATGTGGTTCTGTCTATGTTATGACCAATTAGTCCATTTGTCACCCTATATCAATTGGGTATTCTTTTTCTTTTCACCAATTGAAAAGTGTAAAATGATTATTTTTCTCCTTACGAAAAAAGACATAACATAGAAAACACAAGAGAGAGTGATGTTTTTTCTTTTTTTTCTCTCTCTTCTCTATTTTTAGATTGGTTATCGAAATTAGGCATTGTAATCTTTTTCGAGTATAAATATTTCTGATTCTATGCAATCGATAAACATTCAGATTAAAAAATCTGAACATGTGTTCAACTGTACTCCACCATTACGGTAGGTTTTCTCTCTTTCTATTTAGGTTTTTACATAATACTTGTCTCTTTGACTTATGGCACTCTAATTCACGGCTACTAATAAATGTTTGCCGTGTGCTATTGTGTCATGCATCGAGAGATGACTTTACGACAATATTAATTAATTATTTTTTTTTTGAATATATATTTTTGTTATAATTCTATATATAGTTTGAAGCAAATTGTTCAGGTTCGGTCAATGGCACATAATTTGAAGACGGTTGATATTGAATGACTCCGTGTTTATCTGTGTGCCACCAATCGATCTGAATGTGACTAGTAATGAATTGAAAGCTTCATAAATTGATGAGAACAGTAGCGGACAAAAGTTTTTCTGTCTTCTCGTATCTTGGTTATTATACGTGCTAGAGGTTTGAAAATTTATGCACACATTCTGCACTAAGAATTGAGTTCAGAAAAGCGAGGTCGTCTCAATCACTTGAATTCAATGATAATCATGATAAAGGGCATCTATTTTTGCTTTAAGACTTTAGCCTTAAAACTATTGTCTACTAAATTATTCGTTAAGTGTTGTCAATAACATGCCTATTTCTCAATATTTTAGGATGCAAACAGAACTCAGTTAAGGGAATTTAGGCAAATGTTGTTGGTTCTACACCGGCACTGCTTATTCAGATATAATTTTGATTTAGTAGTAGATTTTTCCATAGAAATGTAACTACTGACAAAGTTTGTTTAAATTTCATCTCGATTCATGGAACAATTACTGAGTTATGGTTTTCAAAAACCAAGAGATAGTTCTTCTTTACCCGAATAGTCATAGAAAAATGGCTGTAATTCCAGAGAGGGTTGATGAACTTCAATGACATGAAGACAGTAGATAATTAGAACAAACAACTCAATAATAAAGAATTAGGGGTCCCAAAATGTTCTTTTTCATAGTTACAAAAAGTTAAAAGGATAAGCTGATGCAATCTATTACCATTCGTCATAATTCTCGTTCTATTTAAACAATCAAGATTAGCTCGTATCTCAAACCTACGTTCTCAGTGGAGTATATGCATTCAAATTTTCCGACCTGTAGCATATATGGTAGTTGAGATACGGGGAGGGTGGCCGAAGAGTTTTCTTCACTATTATAATATTATCAGACAAGGAACACTCATAAATGAGTATTACATATGTAACAGTGGAGATTTTCACAATAGAATTACCTTTGATAATTGTTGGATATAATTTAAAATAATGACAAAATTGTATTCATCATGTATACTTTCTACAGTTCAAAAAAATTAGCAGAAT